CCTTTGTTATAGCGTTTATTCAGAATGCATCAAGCACTACTGTTCTTCAATGTAGGCAGTCGCACTGGATGTTGGTCCAGAATGGAGACCCCTTTGTAGGATGGTATTTGGTCGGGTCTCCAATCTTGAGAGGCGCGCATATTTACTTCGCATCAAGCCCCCCCACTTTCGTGCATAGAGACCGGGAGACACTTGAAAGTCCAGGTTGGACGCGTAGTTCTCCGGCTTGGACCTGTGGCTGTGGGTCAAAACCCTCTACCCCCGGTGAACATCAAAATAGGTGGTACATGGGTGTTCATCCGCCCCAAAATGGAGCCATAGGTTATGACCCATAGTTGTTTGTCTGTTTGTTTGTTTGTTTGTTTGTTTGTTTGCTTGTGTGTGTGTTTTCCCAAGTCGTGTTCTCCTTCCCCACTACCATAATTGATCACAAAAACTAGATACATAAAGAAGACATAGATCGGTATTTCAAACTATCTTCTTGGTGGCGGTTTGGGGGTGGCGGCAACCAATTTCGAGCCAGTTGCAACCGAACATTGGCTCTCGGCCAGCGAGCCGAGAGCTGAGGTCTTGCTGAGGAGAAGGCAAGGGCCCCCAGAGTCGGACCTGGGTACAGGGCCGCCCGGGACTTGGTGGCTAGGTCCCCCAGTACTCAGTAGTGCCCTTGTACCCTTTTTTTGGGGAGGGTTTCCTACTAACATAGATCAGACAAAAGTTGGTACCCTTATTCTAACCTCATTACTGGAGGACCTAGGTGGCCTCCCTTTCATTTCCGTCAGGATACCTGTTGTTTCCCTTAGATGTCCGTTGTGTACAGCATAACGCTGTGTACAGCATACGGCATTTGCCGGTTGATCAGGGGTCATCGGCTTTACAATTCATGCTTCAGCTGCGTTGCGATGCGACTCGATGCCCGAAACAGTGGAAACAGATGTCCGTTGCTTTCCCGAAAAAGGTGTCCCTTTGGTTTCCATTGAAAACACAATCCCAAACGAGTAGACCAGGCACAACAGGAAGATACTTGTTTCTCGCCTGGCGAACCTGAGGATGGTGCGGGTTCTGAGGTGTCCAAAGGGTGCTCCCTGTTTTTGAGAGCAGACCCACCTGTTTTTTCAACAGGCTTGTGGAACATGTCACTTTCTGTGAGACCAAGGCAGCTTCCCTCCCATTTTGACAAACCAGTCATGGGTGTGGGCTGTTCCACCACCATGTTTTCCAGCGTCCGAGAACCTTCCGAGGCTAATTCTTGGACGGTTTGGGCGAAATGATTAACCCTTTGCCATGTTGCGCGGGTGCAGTGTTTTGTTTGTTGATCCAGTCATATGGAGTGCAACAAGACCAGGACATGGCGTCTCCAAATCAGAAGGCATTTGCTAGGTCGGCTGCACCTCATTGCTTGATGCGAAGTGGCGAGGGCAAGGAGGGGTACCACGGCCAACCAGTCGCAAGTCTGCTGGCAAGTCTGCTGGCAATTGCACCAAGCATGTGAAAGGACTGAACAAAAACAGGCGGGTCTCCTCTAAGTGGGCAATCACAGTTTTGGGTATATGTCAAATGTTTTGAAGATGGTTCCCCCAAAATGATCGGCATTTGGAGGATTGGACAAACCCTTATTCAGTCTATGGTCCATTTGGGAGGGACCCATACCCACTAGGGTAACCGCAACAAGTAATAATCGTGGTTCACGGGATTAGGCTATGGGGCATCTCCATCGATTCATCGGCGTCAAGCAATCACTCCATGGGGCCAAATCTCGCCTTGGCATGGGGCTTTGAAGAGTGGCCATGTCTTATTTGGCGGGTTTGAGTTGAGACATGAATGAGCCCAAAGTCACCTTTGTGTCCAAACAGAACTAGTGGCTTGGGAATACCATTCATTTGTGCAGCACAGCTTGGCTGTTAATGTTGGACCTCAGATCATATCCCGGTTTCGGAACTGCCATGTGCGAAGATCATGCTTCGGTGTGATAAGACTTGCTGGATTCTGGATATCCGATGCGTGACGATCAGTGTGGCAGCAAACAGTTCAAGAGCTTGAGCTGGGGCCCGCCCTCTTTTGAACCAGCACGTTTGTGGAAGACTAGGTCCCCCAGCTAGTTGGGAGGGTTCCACTACTAAAATAGACCTAAAAGAAAAAATGGCACCCTTATTCTAACCTCTCTACTGGAGGACCTAGAAACTATGCTTGGGTCCGTTGTTCAATTCCAGAGGGCACTCCATTTTGGACGTGCGCCAAGCGATTCTATGCGATTCCTCCCAAGAAATGTCCCATGTGATTCGTCACGGGCGCTTTGCTGAGGATCCGGTGGAGCACGGGGGCTCAGCCGTTGCAATCGGATCCACGGAGAGTGCGGGTAAAACATCACAAGTTTTTTGTTGCTCAGACTGGGAGACTATCCCGGCTGGTTGGTTCGTTTTGGTCAGTCTTTCAGACCATCCCATGGTCCAAATTTAGAGATGACATCCCAAAGAAGTCCTTGTTTCTTGTTTTTTGAATTTTCTATCTCCGAAGCTAGACATGATGGTTTCCTTTTCCTCGGATCCCTAGAAAACATTCAAAAGGGCGTTCTTGATGGTATGAAACCCTAGAACTGGCTCTTCTTGGTTTGCCTTTTGCGCACCATCCAGAAGGAAATCCTTTGTGGTGGAACGCCCATGTGAACCGACCAGATTCCTGGCAATGTATTGTTAATTTGGGGAGAAGGCTCCAACCTGGGGGCAAAGGAGGCCCTTCATTTCCTTTGAAGTTCGGAGTCCCAAAGTGCTTTAGAGCCATGAAGACAAAACACAACTTGACAAGTTTGATTTGGGCACTTCCTGCCTCAAGTACACTAGCATGGGCCCATGGAAAGAGTTGTACCTGGGTGCTTGAGCAAATTGCCGCTTGACAACGGTGACTGCCAATGTGAGTATAAGTGACACACAGGAACTTTGCTGTCAAAGCCAGTGTTGCCACAAAATGAGAATACCAACACGATGTCCAGTCCCATTTAACAAGGGCCTATGCCAATACAGCTCTGTGTCAGCTTAGAGTCACAGCTGTTGAGCCAAGTTCGACAATTCACGTTTGCTTCCCAAGAAACCGACAACTGGGCACGCACATCCATAGTAACGTTCGAAGGCTGCAACCGCTAGTTTCTAGATACTCCCTCCAACAATCATGGAAGCTGGCAGGTGGGTCTTAGAAGGTACTGGCAAAAAGTATTTTTATCGAATTCTTCTCAAAAGTCTGAACCCGAAGCGCGAGTACGCGCCCGATCTGTTTCCGAAGGTGGCCTGAGGAGGTTGCGGCAGTAGGCGCGGGATAAGGATGACGATGTTGGCCAGGGAAGTGTTGGGCACAAACAAAAAATGACCGGCGAGTTTGCGAAGGGCGGGGTTTGGATTGCGACCGATTGTGCCATGAATTGATGAACTACAGCTCAATCAAAAGCTTTCGCCTCCAAAGCCAGCATATTTGGACATGAGATAATTAGTTGTTGCCCCTTCATGTTGTTTGCAGGGACGCTGTGTAGGGGGCGGGGAAGCTGGCCGTCTAGACTCAACCGGGAACCCGTACAAGCGGGATTCGGTTTGCCTTTGAGTTCCATTGCAAACCAAAAAGGGTTACCGCTTCAAAAGGAATAGCCTTGCCTTCGCCACAAGGGCATGGAGACGTCCTCGCGAAGCTGGTTGACCAGGATGAACCTTCTCGAACAGATAAAGTTTCCCTGCAAATCCACATGGCCAGGGCACCCCACAACTGCACCCTTGCCATTCGGAGATTCGTGGCGTGGGTTCCTCGTTAATCTGCAGGCAGTGGCAAACCAAAACGCTTCAGCTTTGATTTGTTGGACCCCTGGGCGATGGATGTGGATAATAATTTTGACAAGTTAGAACAATGTCTTCGGGTAATACGAGCTCGCCCATTTTGAAGGCGCCTTACTTTAAGAATGCTTAGTTCCACCTTGTGAAGAGCAATTTGCCCGGCGAAGAATAATTAGCAGGCCCTGCACTGCGCCATTGGCAGTTGAAGCAAAGGCTTGTCGAGGCATGCAGGGACGTGTGGCTTGAGAAGAACATTGCATGCGTTGTGTGCACGCCCACAAGCATGCATATGATATCATATGATGTCACTATTCTGACATTTGATTTCGAGCCCCAACAAGACCTCAAATAAAACTCACCTTAGAGCAAAGGCCAACTGCAAGGGGCTTTGACGGGGAAGCCCCCTCTGTGTCAAGGAGGCACGTCCCCCTGTCGCTTAATACCAACGAGTCCCTTGCGTGCTTGCACAGCCACATGTTGTTCAATTTGGTTCCCAAGCATGAGCCCAGAAGCACTCTTGTAGTTTCCATTTTTTTCCTGAGAGAACAATCATGATTCCAGCGGTCAGAAGTTTGCCCCGCTGTTCTTTCCATTTGCAGGAGCCAGTGCTTCTATCTCTTTGGAGATTGAAGATAGGTGACTACAAGCTTGAACCGGAAATATCCTCAAAGATGCTCATGCCCAGGTGACCAGCTTGTCTTAAGTTGCTAGGTTTTGAGTGTTTTCTCTTTTTTTTGGCGTGTCAGCTGGAATGACGAGGACCGGACAGCATGACAGCTTGCGGTATGCCGCCAGGTTCAACCGGAACTTGACTTTTGCACTCTTCGGTCCCCCTTCAGGCTGGCTTCTACACTTTCAGGGCTCCCTTCAAACATGCCCCGAGGAAAAATCCTCATTGAAAAGGGACAGCTCGACCACGGAGCAGTGTGCAAGTTGGGACAATGTGACAGACATGTTGGCTTGATCTTCAGTCTTGCAAGCCTCCAGCCCGCTGAGTTTCAAACACCCAATTTGATATGCCATTCCTCCATGAGTAGTTGTTAAAGCTCGGCGATACACCGGAGTTCAATAATGCCTAGAGCGGACATGCTTTCCAATGTCAGCAATGCGTGGCTTATCGACATGCATCTAGAAGCCGTAGCTAGTCAGCAGTAGTAGTTGGCAATACTTGGGATCTGGCTTGACACGGCACCCATGGCTCGCTGGTCACTGCTGGTCTGCTGGAGTACTCTGCAAGCGACAGCAGTCGCTGAGTCATGCGCTTCGTTGCAGTGTGTGGCCATCTACCGGTCTGACGCTTCTTGCCAGTGCTTTCCTGGCTGCGAAGTGTACAACAACTGCTGCCCGGCACAGTATGTGTTTGCCCCGTGGAGCGTTAATGGTCCAGATCAACAGTTGACCAGTCCATCCAGCGCATTTGTTCACGGTTCTTTGCGAATCTTAGCTTAGGACCAATCTACCGGACTTCACTAGTCGGCGGAATGTCCTGAAATACATGGTCCTTTGGATTACTTTGAAGCTAGCAACACGTTTGTGTTGTTTGCTTTGTGTATTTTCTGTGAGGGCTGCGGACTCAGCATGCATATGTGAATAGTTGTATAGGGGTACTCGCTCCAAAGCAGGATATCAGAGCCCAACGTTTAACAAGAAAGCCTGACATTTGCAGCTCCTTTGGGCAAGCGAGCTGGGAGTTGCCAATTGTGAAGCTCAATTCACAGGAAAGTTGTGTGGATTTCAAATTGATTCTCCTGAAATTGCAGCAACTATAGCGACCTCAGTGACCTCAGAAAGAAGGATGGGGCCGATTCTCACGTATGATGAAGGGTGCTTTCAGCGAAGTCCTTGCCCTTTTTTCAGCTTGGTGAGTCATTTTTTCTTCACTCCTCCGCAATGTGCCCTGCAGGCCTTACAGCATTGCCCGCAGAATCGTTAGAGGTGCTTCGCTGTGGTTAGTGGTGAAGCACACCGGCACACCAACCCAGTTGTTCAGTGGCACCGTTTCTCCCTTTTTCTTTGTGGGTTCCCCCCACCCAGAGCTTGTCAACCCCAACAAAGCCCACCTTTTTCGCTGGGCTGGAATGTTGATCAGAAATTCGGAGCAAGAGCAGCCAGGAATTCCTGTGTGGTGACGAGACTAGGCAGTGCACGTTGCGATTGTTTTTGTTGGCCTTGGCTGGTTTGTGTATTGCAATCAATGGACTTAAACCTTGTGTAGCATGTATGTTTTTATACCGCATTGTGATTTGCACACAGGAAGGTTGGTAGGTATCTTCATCAGGTTAGCAGTGCTTCTTTGTACTGGCATTGGCTGGTTTGAAAATGGAAACCCAAAATATCCCAAAATTAATCAACTCGGGTTGATTAATTGGGGTATCATGGTTTAGATGGTCTTCCAGAAGAGACTTCACTTCTTGGCCATCCTTCCCCACTGATTCGCCAGGTTTCTCCGTTGAGAACGCCCAACTGGGCCACAGCTCATGGCGTTTCCGGCCCAGGTTGTTCCGACTTTAAGGAGGTCTGCATGAATTCCAAAGGCGAGTTCATGCCAGCCCATGCTTACAAGGAGGTGACGACAACCACCACTGAGTATATTGAGCACAAGCCTCTGATTTCTACGCCTGTGGATCATGTAGCTTGGCTGCATCGTGAGACAACTTTCAGTCAACTGAACAGCCAGAACGCGTTCGACTTTGGAGTAGTGCATTGTTTGTTGCTTTTTGTTTTAAGAAAGCCGCGGAACACGTACTATTACACAAGTGTGTGAAACATATTGCCTGGACACATTCTCATACGTTTGGCAATTGATTTGCGAATTTATTGAACATTTTTAAACACGTCCGACAATTGTTTCGCAACATGTTGCCATACGTAAAACATGTCCGAATAAATTGTCTCGACACTAAGTCGTGTGTCCGCCACACAAATTGTTTGGTTTTGTTCGGGCTATTGTCTAAGCAGTTTATCACACATCGCTTGCACTTGTTTTCTCTCTGCCCTGTGTCCTCGAAATTGAAAACTAATCCATCAATGGTCACTTGTTGATGGTCCCGAAAACAACTAATATATATTTATATATACAGAAGGGGATTCCCCGGGGGCGCTGTTGTTTAAGATTCCTGGAAGCTGCGTTTTTCCTCAAAAACCGACCAACAAACTCATAAACCAAACAACAAACTTGCAGGCCCTATGGCTGGGCAGTCCAAGCTTGGGGACATAGGGCCTGCCATTTTGGTGTTGTTTTTTGAAAACTCAGGGTTTTTCACAACTTTCCTGGAAAAAAAACTCGAGTATTCCAAAACAAAGCAATGCAGGCCCTATGGCTGGGCAGTCCAAGCTTGGGGACATAGGGCCTGCATTTTTGGGGGAAACTCGAGGTTTTTGATTTTTGTTTTCTCAGCATCCTCGTTTGCAACAGAATGCCTTCAGATCTGTGACTTTCCCAAGCCAGCCGTAGACGACATCGAACGGATTCTCTAGCTTGGATTGAAATGTTTCAGTCGACCCAGAGAAAATGTTTAATACATGTTGTTTAGATGTTTACTGATTTGCAAGGACAGTTCTATTGAAAAGGATCTCCTTCATCAGAATAATGTTGAAATATAATCATAATTTGAAATCTAACTTGAAATATTCAACTTGATTGGAGCATTTCCATAATGGTTTCTAATTAATAGACCATTGGGATGAATTTGGTAAAGATGTTCAGTAGATTTCAGAAGGAAATAATTCGGAGATCCTAAAAACGTGTGTTTTTCTCTTACTAGCCTCAGCACTGCCATGGTCAGAAAACACTGCTAAACACAGTGTTTTGTAGCGTCGTTCGTACTCAATTCACATCTCCACCAACGGCCGCTCTCTAAAAATCATTTTGAGTTTGAATAGGATTTAAATAGGACTCAATAAGGAAATACTTTATCAGAATCCGACTGGAAATTACATGTTACATTTAGCATTTAGATGTAAATCCTTTTCCAATTGAACATTAACATTAAAGTAGCGTTTAAACATAATTTGATAAGGAATGAATCCAATCACATCTTCTGTGTCATTGTTAATTTGAATTAGAGTAGTTCTATAGTTGATAATTTACACACTATGTTCTTTCCAATCGAATCTATTTACAATTCAGACAATTCAGCTGACATTTAAACACACATTATTGGACACATAGTTCAACCCGAGTTTCCATTGGAATAAACATGTGCCGGTACTTGCTTGCCATCACACAATCAAATGACTGTAAATCTAAATATTTGTGGGGCAAAAACAGCACCCAGGCATCTGAAAAACGTAGCCCCCAGAAATCTGACAACGCAGCCCCCAGGAATCTGAAAAACACAGCCCCCGGGAATCTGAAAAACGCAGCCCCCGGGAATCTGAAAAACGCAGCCCCGGCACGACCCGCCCTTTATATACATATATACAAATGTAGTATACAATGGGCTCGTCTGTGGGTGTTTGCATTGGAGGGCTATTTATTTGGGGATTTTTCCCGTTTTTCTTTAGGATTTTTTCCTGGATTTTGCCTTATTTGGCTTCTTAGCTTCTTGGCTTTTGGCCTTTGTTTCTTGCAGTCTGGCCCTTTTGGCTTTTTGGTTTCTTGGCTTTTGGCTTTTTTTTAAGCTTTTGGTTTTTTGGCTTTTGGCTTTTTGGCTTTTTGGCTTTTTGGCTTTACTTTTTGTGGCCTTTGTGGCTTTGGCTTTCCGCATCCTCAGCATCGCCAGCAACACCCCAGCATCACCGCCTTTTGGCTTTTTGGATTTTTGGTTGGTGGCTTCTTACCTCCCATGTTTCTGTAGATGTCGGGGCCTGCGCCCCCCCCAACCCCCACGAAAACCACCCTAAACCACCACTAAAACTAGAACCAAACTTAAAACCAAACCCTAAAAGCCAACTCAAAAGAAACCCTAAAGTAACCTTAAACCAGCAAGACTCCCCAAAGAAAACCCTAAACAAACCCACTAAACCAACAAGAGACTATCCCTCAACCAACTCCAAACCTACCCTAACCAACCCTAAACCCCGAACACCGTAAGCCAATCCCAAAGCCCACCCTACCCCACCCAAACCAACCCTAAGTCCGCACTAAATTTGTATTATTCTGTATTGATGCTGGTTTAGAGTGGGTTTGTATTATACGATCCGCACTAAACCAGTACAAAGCCATTGCTAATAAGCCCACCTCAAACCACCCCCACTAAGCAAACTCTATAGCTCCCTAAAGCAACCCCAAAACCAATCCCTAACCCCCTGTACACCAAGACTCAATCCAAACTAAACCCGCTCTAAACCCACCCTGAACAAACCCAAAGCAAGCACGACGCCAACCGCCCCCTACACCATCCCCCCTAAACACAACCACAGCCTAAACCAACTCTAAACTCACCCTAAGCCAGCCCTAAGCCCCTGAACCAACCACAACAATCCCACCATAAAACCAGCCCCATACCATCCCAGTACCTCCACCCCCAAACTTGCCCGAAACAAGCCTGGAACCAACCCTAGCCAACCTAAACCTCGTGATGCTGAGGATGTTGAAAAGGATGCTGCCGAGCTAAAACAATGCCGGGGATGTTGACAGTGCTGGTGCAAAACGAGTCAAACCACAGCAGAACCAAGGGAGATCGCACCTGCCAGTTCCAAGACAGAAAATCCAGGAGTCCCAAAACAAAACGGGAAAAAGTCCCAAAACAAATCGGGACCCGTTTGCTTTTGACGGTTTGGACTGTTGTGTGTATGTTGCCATTTGGTTAAATTTCTGCTCCACATGTCTAGCAACGTGTCGCTGCCTTTTCGACAATCAAGCTGAATCCAGGGTGTGGCTCTTGACTTCAAAATCCACTTGAATTCTGGGGTTCTTTTTGCGGAAGGCGAACCCATGCGCGGTTCCCCTTTTGGGGGTTTAGCGGTGTTTTCACTTCTCCTTCTTGGACAAGAAACAGGGACTCCTGGAAAGCATCGACACCCCCTTTTCGTTATTTCCCTGAAAGGCGGCGGGGCGGGGGTGGGGGGCGGTCACGAGGTCGGCCCTGGATCCTCGACAGGTCTCATGCTGTTTTGTAAGCTCAGCCACGTGGGTTGCTCCCTTTTACTTGGTTCTTGGATGGGGTAGACTCTTTTGGAAACAAGTATCAAACAAGGGCGCTTTTTTTCTCCATGGACATTGGGGGCCATTCTGGAAAAGACGTAAAGGGCGTGAGTCGTGAGTGACACCGTGTTTTGTGGGAGTGCACAAGGTTGTTCTGCTGCTTCACCAAGTTTCAGGCTTCGGCGCGCCAAACTTTCAAATGAGGCGTTTGCCTTGTCCAAGACGAGCCATGCTCGCTTTGGAGTGTTTGGTCCGCAATGTCATCCGCTTGGTCAGGGAAGGGTTCAGCTTTCGACGCCTCCCACCCGCAGACAGAGTCATAGGTGTCCTTGTTGGTTCTGTACATTCCCAAGAAGGGCAGGTATAGGTCCACAAGGGCAACCCTAAGCGTCCCTTGGTGACTTCTCAGGAGGTAATGCTGACCCCATATTAACCAACCCCAGTTTTTGAATAGGGGGTAGTTCCCCTCCAAAAGTGATGATTCTCCACTAAACGCAGGGAGGGTTGATCAAATGGATTCATATAAAACGTGGGGTTCAGTTAATCTCCAATTGATTTTGAGTTGGATGTTTTACCCTCTTTCAGCCCCAAATCAAACCGGACCATCCAGAGATAGTTTCTGCGCCGCACAGAGGCATCTCGGAGCCAAGCGCTGCGGAAAGTGGCGGGCAATTGCCGCAGCTTCGGCTGCGGAGTCTTTGCGGCCGCGCGCCTTGGCGCCACAAGCAGGGTCTCGAAACTTCATTGCGCTTTGGTGGGCCAGTGGGGCCTGCAACAGCTAAATCGATTTATGTGAACCTGTTGGCAAATTACTACGTATGTTTCCTCTAACGAGCAGCATGTTGGTATCAAAGAATAATTGTAAAGGCTTCACGTTGCCCGCCTCGGCCAGTCCGCTTTTGGCTGGCTTTGAGGCAAAAGCAGTGTTTTAGTTGGCCTTGACATGTTGTGTTTGTTAGAGTGAGTAAGTCGGTGCCGAAATGCGTGAGCTGGTTTCCATTGTATAGAGGGTGGGCGCATGTCCGCGCGTTCCCACGGATTCCCACACGGCTTCAAGGGCTAGAACGAGAGCCGCAGAGAGCTATAGAATGGCAGTGGGCTTGGGCCAAGCAAAGGTACAATTTCCAGGCAACTTGACTGGTTTCGGGAACTTCGCCGGTTTCTACTGACAGGTTTCTAAAAGGCAAAGTTGACCGGTTTCCACGGTTTTTTAGGATAATTGTTTTTTCGTTTCTGGAGGGACTCGACCGGTTTTCTTTGGATTTGACTGGTTGGCCAGTTTTTGGAGGGGATTTGACTGGTTTCTAGATGGGAAGTTGAGCTGTTTCTGGGGATGGGGTTCCCAAGAGGTTGTGAACCGAGGCGAATTTCGGGATGTTCATTTCATCGGATCTTTGGGTAAAAGAAGGTTGGCTAAGACTTTGGGGCCAGCAGGGAAGGCGCCAGGAGTCATTGCAAAACAAACCGTTGAAGCGATCAAGCACATCTTGGACACAAATGGGATACGGGGCACGTGGCTAACACAAGCGACGGGAAACGGGATACAGGACAAGGGAGGACACGGGATACGGCGGGATACGGAAACGGGAAGGGACACAGACGGGGCACGGAGGATTCGGACACGGGACGCGGGCACGGGAAGCGGGGCTACCGGGCTGAACGGCTTAACTGCTCAACTGTCGGCTAGCTATCCTGATTAGCTGGCTCACCTGGCCCGACGGCTGGATCGGCAGGCTTTGGCTCAAGGGCCCTGCTGCCGCAGCAGGCTGAATTGCGGAGCCTAGTTCCGCCGATGCGCTCAGCAACATGCTTCGGCCGATGAGCGCGCATATGCTCAGCAGTATGGCCCCATGCCCCCCCGTGTGTAGCCCACCACCTTTGCGCCCAACTCCATTGCGGGGGCCCGCAGCACCCCGCCAACTGCCCGTGTGCTCGGTAGTGCGTGCCTGCGGCCTGCGGGCAGCAGGAGCTGCTCTCCTGCCTGCCTTCCTGCCTTCCTTCCTGCCTTGTTTGGTTCTGTAGGGGATGCCTTCGTGCCTTCGTGCCTTCTGTCAATTTCGAGTTCTTGCTTGGCACTTTGAATAAGTCGTATTTTTCCCATACAAGGAAAACCGTCTAGAGGTGGACATATGAACAAAAAGGCAGCACCGCACTGCAGCCGCGGAAGGTTGCCGAAGGTGTTTTTTTTCTCGCAGGATGCTACCGAACCCGGGGGTGCATGCTACGCAGGTGCCAGAAGACCATGAGCGCAGGAAGTCTGATATCTGATCCCTCAGAGATGCAGTGTTGGATTCGGTCGGTGTGGTTTCGATAATTCCTCGGGTGGTTTTTTGACGCAACGATGTGGTTTCTGGAAGGGTCTAAAGTGAAGCATGCCCGTGACAAGTCCTTTGTCGAGTGCCAAGGCTTGCCACAAATAGAGAAGCAACTTCACACTTCATTCCTTATGCCGCACCGGATCGCATGCTCCCCGAGGTGTTTTTTCGTTGCGCGCATTGCGAGCGACGCATTGGCATTGACTTGAGCTCCATCGCGATGTTTGTTTGTGAGGGCGTTCTGGACTTCGGGTTTGCTTGTCGTAGCTTCTCGCAAACGGGTGCAAGGGACAAACATTATTGCTATTTGCCGGAGGCTTGTGTGACGCAGGCAGATCGTCAGGAGTCTTCAAATTCAGCTTTGCGGGGAGGGTGACGCCCCTTAAAACTGGGAAACAATGAGGATGTTCTTTTTCTGGACCCAGTTGATTTTTTGTTCTTGGGTGGTGTATCTCAAAGTTGGATTTGAACATCGCCAAAATGAGTGGTTTCCTTTTGATTCATTGATGGTGATGGAGTAGGCTCCTGCTACCAATCTGGCTCCCTTGACGCACATTGTCCCTCGTTGCTGAGACCCCTCTGTTGCCAGCACATGTCAATAGGAAAGCAAGCCCTTTGGGAATCCACTGGTATTACTTCGCCCGCCCGTTGTTGTATCTCAAACATGTTTAATTCCCCACGCGCAGTGGGTTTGTCTTGCGGTTCGTTTTTGCACCCTGCAAACAAAGGTGTCCTAGAAACAAGGTATCCAGCAAAGATCACCCGCAAATGACGTCCTACAAGGGGCATCTTATACATGACGGCCCAACAAGGGCATCCTTCAGAGTAGTATCCTGAAAAGAATAGACTCCCCCAAATATGGGTGTGGCTCAAAATTAATCAGGAGGGGTTACGCAGGTTTTGGTCCATGCTTCCACTTACCAGGGCAACCCAGATTGGGGATTCCGGTTTTTTCAGCCACGGCCATATCTCGCCTGAGTTTCTGTTGAGAGCAAAGTCAGGCACAACTGCCAGTGCAACGACGGATGCGTGGCCCATGGCAGCTGCTGCGACGATTTCCAGGCTGAGTCGGGTCGGCTCGGAGCGAGGGGGCCTTTTTGCTGACTAGGCCAGCTAGGTGCCCTTTTTATCCCCCTTTTCTTCTTGGGGAGGGTTCCCCTACTACAGTAGACTACAGAAGAAAGTTGGGTTTTTGTTTTTTTTCTTTCTGTTTTTGGGTTTTTAGGTTTTAGTGCCCTTTCTCACCCTTTGTCGGGTTTTTGGTTTCCCCTACTAAAATCGACGTCCTGAAAAAAGTGGGTACCCTTATTCTACCCTCTCTACTGGAGGACCTAGTTAACCATTTATTCATTCGTTTCAACCGGTCAGAATTTCATGAGCGTTGTTTTGCCGATTTGGGATCAGCAACGCAGGGTCCCCCCTCAAACAGGCCAATGTTTTTATCCCAAAATGATGGACTCCCTCTATATATGAGGGTAGACAGGATGAAGTTATTTGTGGTTGGCTTGCTGTGGTGTTGGTTGCTTCTTTGCTTGCTGTTCTAGGGGTGTTGAGGCTGGACAAATGAGCAAATACAAGCATCAATTTGAGCCTCCCTTGGCATGCCCCTGCCACCTTTGAGGGACGGGGATAGCAAAGCGCGCAAAGGGAATTGCTGGGGCCCTCGCAGTTGACACGGCGTTCAACGAGACATACAGGGATCAATGGGTTGGTACAATTGAGGTCTCCTTTTTTCCCAAACAGGAATCACGCGGCGTTGTGTGTGTGTGTGTTAAACATTCGATCAAACACTCAACTCAGAATTGCCTTTGGGATGACAGACGGTAAATTTATGTTTGGTACAATACATCAGCCTATGACACATTGTGTTGTCCAAGCAGGTTGAACAGATTTATGTAGATTCATGTACTAAGAGTGATGTTCCAAAATCCGGGGTACCCCAAAATCAGGGCTACCCCAAAATCCGGGGTACGCCAAAATCAGGGGTACCCAAAAAAAGCAGCCATCCGCAGGCGATTTGCCCTGACCTCTTCGCCAAGTCCGGGGCCGGGAGCTGCAGGGGGAGCTGTGGCATCTGGGATGCGCGGCGGCAGTGCCAATGTGACGCCGAATGCTTCCTGCCCTGCACGTGGCAAAAAAGATTTCGTCGCTTTGCTTGGCTGGACACCTCCGGGGGAAAAAGAGAAAAAGGTCCAGTGATCGGTGGCTCCGGGCCATCCGGAGTGAAAAAGCTTTCTAGACATGTTATTTTTGTTTGGTTTAGTGGCTGGGGCTTCCATTCAACCCACGAAGAGTTAACACTTTTCGCAGATCTGAGGACAACTCCAGGAATGAAACATGGTCCAGTTCTGGTAGGAACAAAGCAGATGGCCTTCTTCGGTCTGTTAGTTTGGGCCCCAGGTGAACCTGTTTGCAACAACTATCATTGAAGCTGCCAGGAAGGTGGGAAGATTATTCAGATTCGTTGGCAACAGCCTGTCTTCCGTGGCATGTATGATTTGGTCCCTTGGCCAAGTGGCCGAGGCTACCTCCACGGCAACTGCTGCCACGACTTCGCTGCCCACTGCAAGCAGGACGCCAGAACGAGGGGAGCGGAAGCGGAAGCAACCGATGAGACAGATGTGCCGCAGAAGTGTCAGAGGGAACCTTTAGACCAGCTGGAAGCAGAAGGGGCCACGGTTGGGACCATTCGGTGGGCATTGCATTCATGGGAGTTTCTTCCGCCCATTGTTTTTCAGGGTGCTCCCAAATGAAGTTCATAGGCAACTAGTTTTTAGTTTTTGTTGGGCAGTGTCAGATCTAGATGCTGTGTTTAATCCCGTGCCCCTTTTTCTAAATCCCCGCCTATAGATAGATAGTGGTTTTTTTCCAGGCTTCAAATCTTCCAACACTAAATTAGAATTAGCCAATACGAAGCCAAGTTTAAACGAGCAAATTTCCCGACGACCCCAACTCCAGTCTTGGGGGACATTTTAGAACCAATGCCACACCGAGGCCAGCGCAACTCCGAAAACGGACTTAGATGTCTGCTGTTGAATTTCCTTTCTCGGAAGTTTCCATTTTTAAGGATTTTGGTGGGGCTCCCATTCGGACGAGGACCATTAGCAGAACCCACGGGGCAGAAATGGGGGTTGTATCAACTTGGCGAACAATTTTCGGGCTTTCTAACCAAATGCCGGGGCAAGATCACCTGATGTATATCAAGCTTGGAACTCTCGCCACTTGCAACGACTGGGGCCATTTCCAAAAGCCAACAAACCGTTGCTACTCGGAGAGGTCCCACCGATTTTGAGTTTGATGCATACCCACCGTTTGAACAGGGAATTCGGTGGCCACTCTTGCTGAAGAGAAGGACCCCTGGAGAGAATGGATGAAGGGTAGGGCTAGAACCATTAGTTTAATGCGCTCATGCTCCTTTCAAAGCAGCCAATGGGCTCTATATCTGGCTGGTGTTGACTTTACTCGGATCAAGGCGCAGAGTTGATCTATCTTTCGAGGTGAGGAACAAATCAAGAAACCTTCCCCTCCCTATAAAATACATTGTTGTTCTTTCCGATATCAAATTGACTTTCTGCCTTGTGTGAGTTTACTGTTCGATATTCATGAGGTTCATAATCGATTTGAATTCTAGTACCAATTGGGGTAATTGCAAACAATCTTACCGAGAAGATAGTCGTAGTCCTATATTGTTGAAAATGGGACTTTACAGGATGATTAAAACAGACGTGAATTTACGATTAACGCCTTAGCTCTATCCTGAAACACAAACAACTACGGAGATCTCTTAGATCCTTTTGATGGGCCGTTTGATTTGGATAAACACAAAAACATCCGAACCGCTTCACTCGAGTTGTGTTCTTTGAACACCCAGGTCTTCTGGTTGCCGAAACCTGAGACCGTTAGTTTGAAAACCCATGTCCTACAGAGTTGGTACCAACGTGGTTTCGATTCCCCTGGAGGGCATCGAGGAGAGAGCAGGCCTCGCGTGATTCTGGGCCCGTTGGTTCCATGGCTGGGATTTCCTCCGACGATGACCCTTTGGGCTCCAAGTTCATCTACACATATCTCAAAGTCAGAGATTCTGGGCTGACTTCCAATTCACTCCTTTTTCTTGGGGTCACTTCTGCCACTGGCAGCACCGGTCCTCGCCCCGGCCTTCGGGCCTTCGGGCCTTCGGGCCTTCGGGTCGGGTCAGGAGGGGCGAGCTGCGAGCTGCAAAGCGCTGGGCTGCGGCACCTTCGGCGCCCAGAACTTCTGCCAATGCAACGCGGCCTGCGCCGCCTTCGGCAGCTGCTCCTTGGCTCCCCGCTCCCCGCAAGTTGCCGCGGGCACGCGGTGGGCCGTTTCTTTCTCTTTTTCATGCGGCAAAATGGAGGGATGGAGGGATGGGCCCTGAAATCGGCATAAGCACCCAGTTGCCTAGTGGCTTGCTTCCTTGTTTCAACTTTTTGGGGAAGGGTTCGAAATTGGTGTCAACTGTCTTCCACTTCTTTTTGGGAAGGGCTCCCATTCCTTTAAGGTCAACCAACCAAAAAGGGATGCCCTTTTTTCCCAATGGCCACTGGGAATCTGTGAGCAAATGAGCAGCGCCATAAACCCTGACAATACAAAGTAGTAAAGGGGGGTGTCCTATAGAATCCCCTGCGAAAGCCAAAACGCAGGCCGCGAAAGCTTGCGAAAGCTTATCGCGAAAGTAACCAAAGAAGGTCCCGCTGCGAAAGACCCGCGAAGCCTGCATGCTATGTGACAGTCCGCCGCGAAAGCGTCGCGAAAGCAATTCTAGAGAACACAAAGCCCGCGAAAGCAAAACATGGGGTCGCGAAAGCATCGCGAAAGGGTCTGCGACAGCAAGTTCATTTGACCAGTTTTAACACAAGAGTATTTGGCACGGCTCAAATGTTTTATATTGACTTCCATTTGCTTGTAAGAATATGTTTTGTTTGACTAAAACATTTCCTGCTGGTGGCTTTAAAGGGAATCTATCACTACCGAAATATATATTTTTTCCAGGGGACTTAAGCAAATGGATGTTTAAGGTTGACTAATGGACCAGGATCTGAAAGTCATGGTTATGGTGTACCTCAAAGTTCGGCCAAGGAAACTCAGTCCAAGGAGCTGTTGTTGGGGTGGTGCAAGGAGAATCCAAAGCGAAAATCGCATTGTGTTCTTGGTAGCTCCCAGCCATCCGGTTCCTTAGCTTTTTCGCGTTTTAGTTGTTTAGTGGTAGTTTCCATTTAGCCCACTAAAAGTTGAAGTCTCAGCGGGGGGATCTGAGGGCAGCCCTGTTCTTTGGGTAAGTTGCTCGCTCCAATTCCTGAAACTTGCACCCTCAGTCCCGCAGTGGACTTTAAACTGACTTGGCCTCAGCTCCCAAGGCGTCAACAATGGCCTTTCCTATTTTGCCACTCCTATTCAGGAGGTAACGCAAGGGTCCCCTTGGCTGCAATTTATAAACTCCGGGTTTGTAGCTACTGGCTTTCTTGTGGGGGTGATCAGAGTCAGAGCTTCAAGTTAGTCATGTCCTTTGACTTGCTTAAAGAAAGGGTGCTTGCCAGCTCAACCGTGACTCTGGGGATCTCTCTCAGAGGACCGACCCCTTATCCTCCAACCATGATGTACACATTGGATTTCCGCACGGCAAGCGGAAGGATATGCGCACCGTGAGTGCATGGGTCACGGGGGGACGGGTGTCGTGCTAAGTGTGTACAAGCAGTGTGTTGCGGCAAATGGTAGGTTGTGTTGCGGCTTCCACAAGTGCATTTCTATGCATGCCGTGCGATGAATGACATTGGGCTGAGATCAAGGCTTTAATGTGTCCAAGAAAGGGCCCCTGGGTGATTGACACTGTCTTGCACACAGCGCAAGGACATCACTTGGAATATGTCTTGCCCCATGTGTCCCGGCCTCCTGTTGATGAGCATTGTAGCAAGCCAGCTTTCTACAAGCTTGTTTAAGTATCGCGGGTGATTGGATGTCATGAACCTTGGGTTTGTATTCCTTCTTTGCCCCTTCCTTTCCCCTTCTTTTCTCTTCTTTTCCCCTTCTTTTCCCCCTCTTTTCCCCTTCTTGTTTTGGACAAACCGGGCCCGTTCTTGGGGCGGGTGTATGCTCCGACGTGAAATGCCACGTGCAATCTATGCTGGCCGGGAGGTGTTACAATGTGAAGCACCCCTTTGGTTCAAATTGGTGTTGCTAAGTTTTCTATGCTTCAAATTTCACTCAGAGATCGGAGTGAGGGTCGGTAAGGACTGTCTGGCAAGTACAGCCGTTTTGCAGGCTGCGGAAAGTATGGCCCACAATCAGAGGACTATCTTCCCAAACAAAAGGCGTCCCTTGCTCCCGCGGGGCGTCAACTTTTGGGACTATCTTGCATGTTTGACTCAAATGATGAACAAAGGACCGATATAAATCCTAGGTGTTTAGAGTCAACTGTTGATGCTTTGTTGCCTTTCCAAGAGCTTGCAGGCTGCGAGGACTATGCGGAATACTGCAACACCGGGTCCTGTGCCACCTACGGCTGTGGGCCCTTCCATGCTGGCCATTCCTGTCAGCGCCTGTGCTCGACCTTGATGGTATGGTAGATGGCCCGGAAAAAAAAAGTCGGCTGAATCAACTGCAAGAGTTGCAAACAGCAAAGTACGGGGTGCTGTTTTCCACTTTTTGTCCCTTCAGTGTTGGGGAAACGCAACCCACAGGGACGATGAGGTGGGCTGCAACCCGCGAACTCCAACCACAGAAAAACGTATTTGAACTGCCCAATCTTAATCTGTGTTCGATTGGGAACAGGTGATCCAAGATCGATGTCGCGTCCTGCAGATCCGAGCTGAAATCAGGCCCTGCTGCCCTTCGGAAAATGGGCGGCATCTTGTTTCCCGCGGCAGATATGTCTAAAAAATACCGTCCCTCCAAATCTGTGAAAGTTGCCAAGTACCAAATCTGCTCATTGGCCAGACCTTTTGGTCCTAATGGGCTCACCGCTTCCCAGCGGTGACTCAATCTCCGTGTCGGCCAGCCGCAGGGAACCTGGACCCATGGAGCCTAAAGTTTTCTGCTTTGTCCAGGTCCAGGAACGTTAGGGCAATCCAAAGCATCTCTGGGATTGTGCTTCAAGGTGGTGGGTTCTTGGTGGCTAAACACATGACTTGCATCCGATAGAACCCATGACTCTGGAGTTCTCAACCACAGCTTTTAAAACCAAACGCCTCGTCACTTTGCTTTTTCCTTGACCCATTTTTTGTGTGGAAGTGCTTGTTTGGCTGAACCCCCTTTTGGTTTGATGGTCTTGAAGGGAAATCAAAATGACGCCACCCATTTCAATGAACTTTGGTTAAACAAAAATCCAGTCGTCTATCTGAAATTCGGGGGGCAGGGGGGGCCTCGCTAGTTGTCCAATGTCCTTTGTGGGCACCATTCGAGCTCCATTCAGAAACCCCCAGGCAGAACAAAGGATGGACACAGCCGCAGTCGACACAGAGGGTTCGGGTGGGACCATTCCCCTATCAAGCCTTGCATTCGGGGGTTTTGATTTTGCAGGTTTTTGGCCCCAGCTGGTTTTGATGGTCATTTTTGGCCCCAGGTGCTTCAAGACAAAGACTGCCCAAAGAAGCTTAATCCAGGATGTAAGCCCAAACCATTGGCCGCGGCCAGGGCCGAATACTACTCTATTAGAGAATCCTCAGCCGCCACCGGGCGCCGCCACCCCCATCCCCACATCCACCCAACTTGGGTGAGAGAAACAAGAAGAAGTTGCGGCGCTCCCTCCCCCCCCACCCCAAGGCAGCAACTATTTGTTTTGCTCATGCTTCCGCATCTTGCTGTTATTCGAGCACTTTTTTTCCCCTGAGGTCCAAACATTCTAAACGTGCAGCTTTCGCTTTTTAACTTGTCCGTGCCAAGTGATGGTTTGACAAGGGTACATATGGTACCCCACATGGGTGCCCACCCCTCCGTCCAAATGCAGGTTCCCCTCAACAAAGGTACAAGCCACTTGGTTCCCACGTTCAAGCTCCAGCAATACTACCCCAAGTGGGAAACTCTCAGCATCTCAGATTGAAGCTTTAGCAGTACAAAATCAATGTTTTTTGGTTGTTGTTTGTATTTAAGCAATACTAAAGCAAGTTGGAACTCGAGTCATCATCTCATATGGAAGCTTCAGCAATACCAATTCAAAATGGAATCTCAATCCACCAATACTAACATGAATTGGATACTCCTGTTAAACACTTAAAGCGACGCTCCAGATTGCCAAGGACTCAAGTCATGGCCCACTGATGAACTGGAGGTGTGACTCTTTGCTCACATTTGGCACCGTCCACCTTTGTCCACCTTGTTCAAGGATGACAACACCTTCTTTCCCCACCACATGTTTTCGTTGGGCGGCGTCACTGTTTCACAGCCGGGAAGCCAGCTCCATGTTTGCTGTGCTTTGGGTCAGAGTGGGTCCAGGTGCAACCCGGGCTGCGAGCGTTTCGGGAACTGCTGCGGCGACTTCCAACATGTGTGCGAGGGCGCGAGCGGCTTCAGCGAAGGCTCCCGGCTTTCCTGTGCCGAGGCGCCTGCGAAAGCACTCGCATCGATGATTTGGAATCGGAGCATACAATGTTGGACTCTCTGAACAGTGTGACCCCCCCCTGAACAGCGGAAACAGTCAGCTGGACTCTCTTTAGTGATTTCCTGGGGGTTATACATAGTTAGGTCAAGGTAAATGCCACAACGTCGCCAAGGTCAGAGTCATCATGCTCTTTGCATCAAGGGCATCTACGTTCAGCCTGCCCTGGTGTAGATACTGTGGACGGACGACAACTAGTCGCACCTTTTGGGATGGATGCTAGTTCGGGAAGTTGTCCGTATACTTTTGGGCTGGTTTGGGGCAGCAACCAATGGATGCCACTAGTTTCAGGGCTGATCCGGCTGGAACTGTTTGTTGGATTCGGAGGGTGCGGGACCCACAAAATTGGCAACCCAACAAAGGGATCCCTTTGAGCAGGTTGTCAGGCAACTGGTCGGTTGGCAGAGAGCTGCATTAGATCTTCATTTGGATTTGTCTCTAAATAGGGAACACCCCTGATGTTTCCTTGGCTTCGCTATAAAGCAAACCCGAAGCAGCCGTATGTTGTAAATTACACGTCGATGGTGTTGCTTCTTGTGTTTGGATTTTTGTGTGTTTTTGGTATTGGTGGTCCTATGGCTATCTACCCAGTTGTTGAGGGGCGCAACAGGAGAAAACAGCGAAAAGGCGATTCCTCAGACATGGGTGGCTTGTTGGGGCAGATTTATTCATGCTTGGTTGCTTGGTCGGTCCGTTGATTCTGGTGTCCAACCACCAACGATGCATTTTCCTTGGGAACTGGTGCCAGGTGGGCTGCAACTTTGTGTCTGGCCGGGCCTGCCAGTGCAATTCAGGCGGGCGTTTGCGGGATTGACGCGGTGTTTGACAGGGAGTACCCCCATGCAGACTATTCTTGGCACCCACAAGGAACGCCCATTTTCCAAAAGAAGATTCTGCGGAATAGAAAGTGCTTTTGTGGATTCCACGTTGATCATCAGCAAGAGTCTGCCAGTCAAGATGCTTGCATGCCCCCGTGTTCGGTCCATACTACAGTGGAACATGCAGGCCCGTTTTGACCAAGTGCATGCTGCGTTCCCTCCGGAGAGATGCACAAACAGGCAGGCAGGACCTCCGCCCCAAGCATATCGAGCCCTTGGCCTCTCATGATGGATGTTTAGTCAATGTTCTAGAGGGTATTGCTTCGTCGAGATTTTAACAAAGGTCAAGTTTGCCCATGGTCCATGCTTTGTCACCGCCTATACCAACTTAGGCAAGCGAGCCTTTGGTTTGTAAACGCATCGGAGGCAACATTGCTGATCAACCTGTTTGCATGAATGTTGGACAACCATCCGGACAATGTTACGGGCATGACGGCGGCAAGTTGCAAAGTCCCAGTCCACTAATTTGTCCACGTTCTTGTCAGTAGAATCATGGATACCGTCTGTGAGCCACCGAGTCAGTCAGAGGGCCGGTTTTCACTCACCAGTTCCCTCCATTCCCCAGGATGTTTTCGTCTCAGTGCGAGCACTCGAAATTCAAGTGCCAAATCTTTGGTCCTGATAATATCGGCTCCAATTAGTGAAAGGGTTCTCAAATTGTCCAAGAAATGCTCACTGCCCAAAACTAATACTGGGCACTGAATACGGACAAGTTGTTTAGTCGCCCCCCCCCCCCCCGCCCCCAAAAAAGAAAGGAAAAAGCAAGCAGAATAAGAAGAAGTAACAACCATAAAACAAGCAAGCAAGCAAACAAACAAACAACAAACAAACACAAAAGGCTTGCGACAACTCTTCGCGAATTTTGTTCTTGGCACAGCCAGCAGAAAAGGTGACCCTGTCTTCTCCAACCCGGCTGTGTTAGTCATTGCTCGCCTTCTACTATATATCAACATCCCAAAACCCAAAAGCAATCTTGTATCCCCAAACTGCGGGGAGTACAGCGGAGCCCCCGACACTAAATTAAATGGTTGAGAAAGGAACTGCCACCGGCCATCACTGTCTTTTCAATCCAAAAAACGGAAACGAGTCTGTGCCCCACACCTGGAAAAGAGCCCGTCCCACAACAGTTTTCCATTGGGGGAGTAGAGCCTCACTGATACCCGATGGAGGAATATCCAAGCCAATACAACAGAATACTAAACAGTACTGAAGAGTAACTCCCCCCGATTGTTTCGGGGGCATAAAGAAAAAGAAGGAAAAAAACCAAACAAAGGGTGTCCCATATGGAATCAAAACCATAATTTGCTTTCCCAGGCTTTCAGTAGTCCTCTTGTCTTTGAAGCCGATGTGAAGCCCACTCAAAAAGACAGACGCCCATGTAAAGCCGAAATCTTGCTTGGTGCATTTAATCTTTCAGCGCCGACCTAGGCGATCCCTAGCTATGCGTTGTTTGCGCCTCCGATGTTGTCTCTAGTTTACTTGTTGTTATCGCCAAAACGCAGCCATGCCCCAGTGTTAGAAAGTTCTCTAGTGCCCAGTTGTTCAGTGGCACCCTTTTTTATCTCTTTCTACCAGGAGTGAGTGGGAGTCAGGGTTTGTCACCTAGTTGGAAATCACCCCACGTGTAGAATCAACGGCGAATGCTTGGCCCTGCCTTCGAGGCTGTCAGATGCACGGCAACTGCTGCATCGACTTTGAGAGCACCTGCTCTCTGCCCAAGGAGCACCAGCGTTTTCATCGAGCTGTTCTAAGGGTTTTTGTATTACACCCTGGGAATACACCCACTGGGTAATTATTGACCCCATGGCACATTTCCGGACAACACCGTGTTATTTTGAACCATTCCAGGGGTCATGTCCCAAGGGTGTAATCCCAGGGTGTAAAAGCACTCAGAGTTGTTCTGTGAGGCTCCCAAAAAAAGGCGACCGGGTGCTAAATATCGCACAATGTTAGATTTCCCCACAGGAAGCCCGCAGGAGATGGCATTGTTTTGTTCCTCACATGCACGATTGCTTCCTCTAAAGCAACACCTGCAGGGGGATGAACTGAAAGCAAACATCCAGACCCTTCCGCAACATTTCCCAGGAAACCAAAAAGGCATGTGTTGTTTGCTTTGACGTTCCAAGTTCTCCCATTTAGCGCCCAGTCCTCAGCTTCCCACTAATTGGTGGTTTGGTGGTTTGGAGGGGTGTGATTTCCGTCCGCTCGAAGCCGGGGCTTCAAATCCGCAGTTCCCAGCAATCCAAACCAATGAGGAGTAAGCTGAAGTCCAGAGGAGAAGAGTCTTCTTCCATTTGCTTAAGAATCTTAAGAATATGTTTATTTTCGCTTGGTTTTAAGGGAACCTATCACTATTGTTTTGTTTGTTTTCCTCCGGGGGGCTTAAGCAAATGGAAGGCTAGGTAATCACTACTGGAAACGATTTTCTGGTTTTCCAGTGGGCTTAAGCAACTGGAAGTCTTTGAATCGAGGAGCCGCTTGGCTCCTGCGCCGTCTTCGGGTGCATCGAATTCCGGGAGGGCAACGACTGCCAATGCTCCCCAGTGCCTCGAGAAGAGACCGATACGAAGCGGGGGTCTGGGCTTTGGGGGGTCCGAGCTTGTTTCATGGATGGTGTCACGACCCCCCCCAGCACAACCCCCCCCAACCAAATAAGGCATTTTAAGGATTTGGTCCTGTTTTCTTTGATTTTTGCAAGAAACAACCGCCTGGGTCCTAATAGTACACTAATAGAATCCTGGTGACGCAGCTTTGGATCTAGCGCAGCGTGCCACTCAGAAGTGGCACCAGCGGAGCGGCAGACCAGTCAAGGTCCCCACTTTTGAGAAAGTCTAGGACAGCAGTTGATTGTCCAATGGATCCTTGGTTGGCGCAGATTCTTTCTCAGGACAACGGTTGCACGCGGGCACATTTTTTCTTAGGCTCAGACGCCTTTCATTGATTCTCACAGTAGTGGGAGGGACGATTTTTTGCCATGGAAACAGAGTGGGATAGCGGGACTGGCTCAGTCACACGTGAAACTGTGGCATCATCGTCATCGGACAAGTCGTGTTCAAGGGCATCAAAGTCTACGAGCGTTTGCAGCGCTACACCACTGGAGGACACTCGCTCTGACTGTGGTTACGTAAGTCTGCCTTACATGGTTCATTGATTGTGTGCCGCAGGATCGTCATGTTGGACGGTTGTGAAACAAGAATTATGAATCACAATTTTTCCAGATTGAACAAATCCTGACTGAACATGTTGAGAGTATGAGACCCCTAACTACCAGCCCTAACTCAGTTTATTTGGAACCGCACCATGCTACAAGGACCTCGGCTCGGATGTGTCAATGCTGGCGAAGGCTGGAAGGGCCATACAGCTCGCGTGGTTTGTCCTGCGCACGAAATTGCCGAGACACATTCTTGAGGACCGCCGAAACATTAATATCAGGGTGACCTTTTCGCATATTTTGTGTGCGTTGTGCGTGTGTGTGACAATCATTTGCATTTTTGAGCCTGCTGTCCACTGAACAAGTCTAAGCAAGTCTACATATTATCATATTATTGTTTGCTGCATTGCTGTTGGAAATCCCGAGCTCTGATTGAAGTCTGGCTCACTTACCCCTGAAAAGAAATTAAAATAGCTTGTCTTTGCCCCTCAGTGACTGAGTGACTCAGGAGTCATTGCTGAAGACCACTCGACGAACATCCAGCTCATGCACTGGGGCATACACCTCTGAGATGGCCTTTGCCGTGATTGAGAAAACACTGAATGATACAAACCAGCTGTCGTTCACTGTGGCGTTCAAGAACAAATCCTGTCACGAACCTTTTCTGAACCTGTGTGACTATCTCAGCGGTACTTACTAAACCAAGCTTCCATTTGAACCAAATCCCTTTGCTGAATTTAACTCCAACATGACAGACGTAGTGTAGGACCACGGACGCGCCAAGATTAGTTATTTTTAGCGGCTTACACATGTTGTTCTTGAATCATTGGCATCGAATTGAATGGTCGAGTCACACGCTAAGGAGTGGAATCGGGAGTGTCAGCAGCTAATCCGTGATCACGTGGAGTGGTGCGCGGCTGTTCTGGGGACCGTTCTGCCCTTGCCTTGCCTTTTTGAGGATGTGGAGGGATGTGTCCCTCCAAACTCCTACAACAAGGACGATCCTTACATGGTGAAGTACCGGGCTATTGCGGCCGCAGGCCTCCTGAGCCATGGGAAGTGCCTTTTTCATGGGAAACAATGTCCACTGTTCGGTCCAGCAGCAGCCGCAGACTGGGAGACAGCTGGTTTGCCTTGCACCGACCAGAGTCGTGCAGGTTTGCGCCGTTTCGAGCATGGACCAACGGCCAGTGTGTTTATATGTCACGCCAAGAGGCACATTGAGTTGGAAACTCCCGTCATCTTGCTGGAGAATGTTCAGGACACGGACGGACTGTGCTCGCTTTTCAGGGCATTAGCCAAGTACTAATTTACTAATCCAATTCAATTGGCCAGTGGTCGACAGAATTGAAACCATGAACATCAATCGAGTAATATTGCAAACAGTTACACATGAAAGAATAGGGCACTATTAAGGCATTATTATTATGCAAATTGTTGCTGAGTAACTGCCCATTGAATCATTGCTTGCCTAGGACCTTCGAGTGGAGATGATCAGGCACTTGTACGGTCACTACTACGAGATGTATCCTTTTTTTGTTGATTCCAAGGACGTGGGGCATTATGGCTCTACCAGGGCCCGCCTATACATTTTCCTTGCTCACAAAGCCAAAGTGAGGCTTGCGGCTGATATCTACTCAATGTACCGAGTGATTTGCAAAACAATCACTCACAACATCAAGACTTTGCCCAGGGACTATGTCATTGCCAGCCAGACAGAGGTTGAGATGGAACTTGCAGACGCAGCTGCCCGGTTGTCAATGCGTGGGAAATCTGCGCGCGGCCCCGCATCTTGACTCCACTGAGTCACTGGTTTTCCTTTTGAACTCTTTGAGGTAAGTAAGTGTATAATACATTTTTGTAACCTCAGATGCAAGAAAACGATTGTCCTAAACTTTAGGCTCTTGCCAGCCTTCAATTCATTCTGAATCACTGAAACTGCAGGTTGGCAAACGCAATCGCCATCGCACTTTCCGCGCCATGCTCACCAGCCGTGAACGAGGAGTGATACAGACCCTCACCAAGAAATACCGGCAAACGTACCACCGTGATGCACGGGAAGATCCGGATCTTGTGTATTTTCTGGGGGACAACCCAGGCAATCGGGTGACGTGGTCGGCATCTTCAAGGCGACTGCCAACGTTTCGTCGCGGCGGTGGTTCCAAATTCTGGCATGTTCAGTCAGAGCGCTGGCTAACAGCTCGTGAGCGCTTATCTAGCCTTGGTTTTCCCTGTGACAGCACTACAGCTTGGGCAATGTCAGTTCCGGAACTGCATCGGCGGTTGCCGGGAACTCAATGCACTTTACAAATGTGGCAGTGCTGCAGTTGCTGGGCATGGCGTGTTTTACCTTGCGAAATTAGAGCAGAGCCAATTGGCAATTAATGGCTGTTTCACGGATTCATGGAGCATGACAGAAGCAGTGCAGTTTAAAAAGCACTGCCTGACAACCGCACACATAGCGCTCCCTCCTCCTTCCCCCCCCCCACCCGCCCCTCTATTCCTGCGCTGCTTCGCTTTGTGTAATATTATTGTTTCCTCGTCGCTTCCAGCTTCTCTCGCCGCGCACATTGTTTCTCCCCATGTTTCCTTATTGGTCATTACTATTGGTGCCTTATTTATGCCATATTTGTGCCTTATTTGCGCCTAAATTGCTTCTTCTGCGTGCCTTATTATTTGTTCCCCTCCTGCCCCGCACTCTCTTCCCTTCCCTTGCCTCCCAGCTCACATTGCGCCAATGATGTAAAGGGGTTCCTCCATGAGCCGCTTTACTGTAGAATTGTTTGGTGCACATTTTCACAAGGACTTGAAAGTAGGGGCCTGGGAAAGTGCTGCTTCTTGAACACAGAAATTTACCCTTTCATTTCTGTTATTGTTCATTTGCAATAGGATTGTTGAATTGACTGAGCACGCAGAAATGCGGGGCCGGAATCCACCCACGCTTCGGGGACTTGGTTTGGACGTGTAGTTGGTCCATTCTTCGTTTGCTGTACCTCAGCAATTCAGTTGCGTTTGCAGGTTTGAAGTTTGACATTCTTCAGAATCACAGCAAGGGACGCTTCCGAAGTGAGCAGTGTTAGACTGTTTCAATCTATTGGTAACGTGTGGCGACTATTTAATGTGGCCCAGAATCTTGGCAACCTTGGGAATTTGCCAAGTTTTACCTTTTAATCCAGTGACATCCCTCGACTAACTCAGACTTGACCTAACTGTTAAACTTGCGAAACTTGTCAGTGACATTCATTCCGTGACCAGACTGCTTTACCCGCTGTGAGCGATGCGTTGCAATTGCAGTTGGTCAATGAATTGTTGTTTGAAGCCGCAGCATTTTGATCTCAGTCAGTGAGTGGCGATCTCGTTCTGACCGCATATTTCCTGCCGTGACACCGATGACTTTGAGAACCAAGGCTTCGCGCAGGGCCCTGGCTCCAGACTTTCTGGGCCTTGAAAGTGACGAGGGCGGGTCGGGCCAGTTCCGGCCTAGTCGGAAAATGAACCCCATCTATGAGGAAGACCGCATTGCGCCAATTCAGCAACTGGACCAACTAAGCCGCACCTTTTTTTAGTTGAACAGTTGTGTTTTTTTGATGCACAGATTCACAGATCAGCAGCAAAGTCAAGCAGGACTGACAACAGCGGACAGCAGTCAGACATTCTTTAACTAAATTTAATTAATGTTGTGTGAGTTGGCTTGTCCTGACTTAAGAGAGTTGAGGTGGGGCGATGGAACGACAGTGGGGCTTGCGCCGGAGCTGCCAAAGCCAAAGGCCAAGGCAAAATCCGGGGCCGGACGTGGCGGCGCGCGGGGCGTGCCGAAGGGTGACTCATCGAACGGCGGTCGCAATGTGAACTGCACCAAGTATCGGCAGAGCTCTCTCCTTGAAATGCCGGCAACTCGACTGTTTGCTGCAATGTTGACTTCCCACATGAGTTTAACATGGGGTAGGTGTCAGTGAGTCTTCTAAAATTGGCCCGCTCAGGACTGTCATTTGCAAGAATGGCTCATTGAGGCGGACAGCGTGTGGCTCGGAGCCAAGGTGGTGAAGTCTAAGATGGTGACGCGCGAGCTCTTGTTTGCTTCTGTGGCCTTCAATTTCGGATTTGAGCCCACTGACCCGCCCGTTGAGCTGCTTGGGCGCATTGGCACGAGGCATCAGTAACTATAACACAAATAAGGCACGAATAAGCAACAAATAATGGCGCGAATAAGGGCTAATAAGGCTCTAATAAGGGCTAATAAGGCTCGAATAAGGGCTAATAAGGCCTACTGAGAGGGGATTGATGGCCTGGTCCACAGGAGGGGTACGGGGAAGAAGAAGGGAGGGAAGGTTGGACAGACACAAATAATAATACAGACAATAAGGCTCGAATAAATGTCAGGCACAAATAGGG